CAATAAATCTACTCTGTTGTTAGCTACCCACAACAAATAAACATATGGTCATATTTTCTTTTTCTAATTTTCCATATTCATTGAAACAAAGTTTCCCAAGTTGTTTGTCTTTAGGCTTGTTGGTTTGGATATGCCATGTCCTTCACTTTTCTGTGTGAAAAGACTTTCTCATCATTGTGTTTCCATTTTAAGGTCAATTTTTTTCCCAGCTTGGTTTCAGAGAAACAATAAAGATACTGCCTGTTGCACCATGCAGGTCAAAAACATCTCGGGAATCTTTGAATCAGACAGAAAGAAAAAAAAAAAACATAAAAAGATTACATCAGTCATGCTACATGAGTCTTCAACGGTCGCTCTAACAGCCAAGATGAACTTGGCTGGAAGAAAAAAAAATGAAAGGCGGAAAAACAAAACAGGCTGAATGTTGAATAATGATTACATTATATCCTGTTGTCTACCTCCAGACCACAGTCTGCACAGAAGTCAGGCTCCGGGACGCTACCAACCAGCTGCTTCTGATGATGATGATGATGCTTCTTCAATGGAAGCTCAACTTTGTCTGTTAACACAAGATTACACGTCAGACTTGCAGAATTACAACCATCTCTCACTACTTAAGGTAAAAAGCAAAGCCTGCTATGAATAACATCATAGATTTGATAGTATTGGGTCAGCTAAACAAGGACACATGCAAAAACATGGAATCTGAATTAGAGAAACATAGTGCAGAGAATAGACACTGTGGTGGTGTTTGCAGGATTGCTTTGTGTCACTGATGTTAAATACGAGCCACAAAAGGCTCATCAACTGCGAAGAGCTGGTTATAGCCCCTGGAGGTTGGGGAGAGGGGGTGCCGTTTAAATGGAGCAATGAAAACTCTCCAGAAAGACACTTATTCATTCAATAGTTCACATAAGTGTCACTGTTTAACCCCCCAAAAACAAAGATAGAGAGAACTGAGGATTTACACTAAACATTTGTTTAATAGATGTTAAATTAAATAGTCATTGATAGTTTTTGTTTCCGTCGTTGTGTTTATATATTTCTACAGAGTAAAAAATATAGTGTAAACTATCCATTCATTCATCTGTCTTCTTCAGCTTATCCAGCAGCCCAGACCTCCCTCTCCACAGCCACCTCCTCCTGCTTATCCAAGGGAACAACAAGGCATTCCCAGGTCAGGGGAAAGATATGATCTCTCCAGCGTGTTCTGGGTCTACCCCAAGGCCTCCTCCCAGTTTGATAGTATTGGGACATATTGGGACAGATTCCCAAACCAACTCTGTTGGCTCCTTTTGATGTGGAGAAGAAGCAACTCTACTCTGAGCCCCTCCTGGATGGCTAAACTCCTCACCAAAGCTTCTGACCATAGGTGAGAGTACAGACAAAGGGACATCGACCGGTAAGTTGAGAGCTCAGCTCTCTCTTCATCACGATGGATCGGTACAGCGTCTGCATCACTGCAGCCGCAGCACCAATCCATCTGTTGCTCTTCTGCTCCCTTCTCTCCTCATTTGTGAACAAGACCCTGAGATACTTAAAGTCCTCCAGTTGGGGCAGTAAGTCGTCCCTGTCCCGGAGTTGGCACTCCACCCTTTTCCGGCTGAGGACCATGGCCTCAGATTTGGAGGTGCTGATTCTTATTCCTGTCGCTTCACACTGAACTGCAAACTGCCCCAGTGCAAGCTAGAGGCCATCACCCAGTGCACCCTCACTATGTGTTTTGGCATCCCAGGTCTGTCCAGCAACCTCCCCCACCACCTGATCCAACTCATCACCAGTTGAAAGCTCAGCACCTCTCTTCACCTGAGTGTCCAGAACATGCCGCAGCAGAGCTGATGATGCAATTATAAAATAACTCATGGATTTATAGATCATCGACCTGGGGCCTAGGTGTCCTGGTGCCACGTGCACTTATGGACACCCTTATGTTCAAAAATGGTGTTTTGTTATGGACAAACTGTGGTTTGCACACACCGCCACCCAGCACACACTCCCCTATGACACCTCCTGCAGGTGGTGGGCCTACAGGAGGGTCCACATGTACCGAGTTGAAGAAAGCAGGAGTGACAGGAATTATTAGAAAAGTAGGGTTTTCATTTATTTAACCTCCCAAAATTATATTTACAAAAGTCATAAATGTTGATCTCATAGAAAAAGGTCAAAGAAACAAAACTGAACTCAGGCAAAGAACTGCAAACTTAACAAACCAACTGACTGCCCAAACAAATATAACTGACCTAAACATGAAATGTCACACAAGGTTATATATAATGGCTGATCAGACCACTATGAGACATGAGGGGTAACTAAACAAAACACAATCATAAACAACAAACAATGCAGTACAGTCTAGTTTGTTAATAAACTAAACACCAAAGAAGGAAATCAAAACTACTAAACCCTAAACTCAAATATTTAATTAAGTACAACTACTTTGTTTTTAATGAAAGAAAACACATTCTCCCCTTCAGCAGGAAGTGGTGGTGCAGTCCAATTATCCCTCTTTGCATTTAATGGTTTCAAACCCTGCCCACCACTTTTTGTCTGGCAACTCCCCGGGATCATGGCAGGTAAGAAGTAAAGAAACAAAGTTTTGTCAAAAATAAAACTAAGTAATGAACTGGTATGAATACATAAGTAAACTAAATGCTTACAAACCGAACAAATGTATCCAAACCAATCAATAAAGTTACTGGAAACTAACGTGTGTTACTGTGTTCAAATGAAGAAATGAAAATGCACAAGAGTTACTGACTTTAGAGTGTGGCCATGGGTTTGGCCATCACAGTAACCCTATCCCAGCCAAGGTGAACTGCTCCCTGGATCTTCTGCTGATAGGGGCTTTTGAACCACTCTTTGTCTGCCCCTCACCCAGGACCACTTTGCCATGGGGGTAAAAGCAAAAGACAACGTAGCCCCTGGGATCACTGAGAAACCCAAACCCCTCCATAATGTAGCGATTCAGCAGGAGGATAGTGTAAACAACCAGCATAAAAGGCCAAACTATTTCTTTTCTTTGACACAGTAAGTTGTCTAGTAAAATCCAACACCACATGTTCAACCTGCTTTGTGATTATGAGTTTGATCTTAAAGTCTGCATTGGGTTGTGTTTGTAAATTTTAATAAACAATTTGTAGTGCAGTGGCATGAACAATACATATGTTTTTATTAGTGATTTGTTTGTTTTTTATAAACAGCCTTTTTTTAACATCTCACTATGTGCAGTGTAATAATGGAGATTACAATAACACAATATTTTCATGTCTGTGTTTTCATGCAAAGTGCCACAGGCTGGAGTTTGCTCGTAATAATAATAATAATACTAAAATTAAGCATGATAGTAATAATAATCTTACCCTTTATTATGTTTGCTTTTTTCTGGATACAGCAAACAATGACAATGAAGATCACCAACAGAAGAATACCTGACAGTGAAAGAGAGGAATAAAATTGTATTTTATTTGTAATTGTACGCATGTGAAAAATAGTAAATGTGTTTTAGTTCAACAAAACTGTAACATAACATACCTGCTCCAGTGCGCACTGGAATACAGACATCAGTGTCACATACATCAGGGAAAACTTCAAAATAATACAAGAAGAAAAGTGTATTTATTAGATATGTATAATAAAAGGGCCATTTCAGCCATCAACAGACAGTTGACACCACATAATATTCACAAGGCTTTAAGCATTTGTGATAAACTGGCTGATTCCTGAAACACTGCAAGCAAAGAGCTTCAGCTTTTTGATATCTTGTCCTTCAGATTTTCTTTCAACTCTTCATCTTTGTTAAGCAATTAATGTTGTTTGTCTTTCTTTAGAATAAATTATAGTTGACAGAATAATAATTAATAAATTATTAATTAATTATAATTAATTAATAATTAAATTAAATTAAACATTTGAATATAAGAGCAAAAATAATTTATGTACAATACAAACAATTTCTCAAAGTTTTGCTTTTGATAAGATAAAATGTTTGTGGGGTTTTTGTTTTGTTTTTGGTGATTGTGTTAAAACCATGTTAAAAAAAACTGATCTGATCCATAAGCTCAGTAATGCTGTGGGTATCGAGCTGGACTCCCTGAAGGTGGTGCCGATGAAAGTAAAAACAAAGAATTACCAGATTTTTTTTTTTAACCTTATTTTTGTTTTTATGAAAAATAAGAGCCACATATGAGGATATTCGTTTAAAATTTTGATAGAACAGTAGCACTATAATGTACTCGTAAGTGGATATCAGGCCATGTAGACCAAAACGGAGTATTTTGGTCTAAATAACCCAAAATGTGATGTCCACATATGTGGACGCCAGGTCCTAGGAGGTTAAGGTGGTGTCGGCAAGATAAGGACAATGCTGGATGCACTCCTTGACTTACTGGCCAGTCACAGGAGCACGTTCAAAAACAGACTGAGATTACCCAAATGCACCACTTCACAACTCAGGAAATCACTCCTGCCTGTGGATGTCGTCCTGTACAACTCCTCCATCTAATAACAGTCACAGTGCAACAAAAAAACAAGTTTTACAGTTTAGAGTAAAATGTCAGTCATATATATTTAAGCTCTGCAATATTCTGGATATATTTATAAATGAGCTATTTGTATATATTAGAGCTATTTCTTATATTTTTTAAACTCTGTAATACACTGTATTATTTAATTTAGTTCAGTCTGTTAGTGTTCTCATTGTTTTGCAGCAACTGTAACCAAAAAGTATTCTGATTCTGATTAAATAGAAAATGCTGCAAAAACTTAAAAAAGAGTTTAAACTATATAACAGAAACAGGAAAAAACTGGGACACAAAATTTACTTGAATCTCTCTATCCAAAAAAATATAATGTACAATATGATACAACTTCTAAACTGAAAAAATCATTGAAAATCAGCAGATATTTTTATAATTCCAAAGAGTGTTTCAGGAAAAACTTTAAAATAAAAGGAGAAGAAAAGTATCATGTTAGCATGTGAGCTCAATACAATGACTACTTCAGTTCATGAATATTTAGAAAAGACACATTTGAACATTTGTACAGCTGATGGTAAATAATACTTACCAAGCTTATAGCAGTCTTGTTGAACAGGCTGACTGATCTCAGAGCTGACGTGGTTAGAAACATTGCAAGAGAAACGAGCATTTAGCACGTCTTCAGCTGGCCTTGTCAGCTCCTTGCCAGTCTCTTTTTCTGCCACAGGTTTATCGTCCATAAACCATTTGATCTGAAAATTATTTTCACTCTGTAGACAAACAGACAATTAGTGGATTTAGTGGAAGGTTCAGATTTTAAGTCTAACATAAAAAGTTCAACCTCAGCAAAATTAGAAATATATTCATCTTTTCATACATTTTTGGTAATTTCCCAGCCTATATAATTAAATAATACATAAATAGAGACCCGAGCCTCACTGAAACAAGATCTCTGAGTAAATGCTTGTAGACAGCACGCTGCAAATCATGCAGGGTTTCAGTGGAGGAAAAATGAGGCCACAGATTCTTCAACAGCTTAATTATGAGTCAGTTATTGGTAGAGTACTCTAACTTAATTGTAACTGAAACAATAAATATTGTACTCACCTTAATAACACTGCAAGTAAAAGTGACTTTTGTCTTATCGCCTGTACACGTCACTGTTACTTTGGGCTTCTGCACAGGGTCTGAGAACAGAAAATTTGATTACATCAACTACTGCTGATAATGATTTTCTACATTTACTGGTATTGTTGATTGATAAAACTCAACAATGACGTCATAATAAAACCAAACACTTTACTCTTAATTACAAAGTATGACTAAGACAGCTTAGCACACTTGCTTGTTGTGATAGAAGTAGTACAAACACAATAAATACACATATAATGTGTTTTACTTACCTAATACACACAAATGCACACT